TGACTTCTCGGGACAGGAGGTTGCATAGTGACCCGGCTTGTCACATCTCCAACATATCACCTTTGAACGATCCTTCTTCGAGTTTTTATCTTCAGTGTGTGACACATGGTTTTGGTTGTGTAACACACCTCGACCTCTGCCTCTACCATTCCGTCCTCTACCTCTACCACGAAAATTCTCATAACTTTTATGAGATTTCTGGTCACTATTCGAAAACATGAGCTTCCCTTGGTCTACTTTCTGAGCTTCTCCCCCTACACGATCCTCGTACGCCTTGATCCTTCCTACGATGTCCTCATACGCCGTTGTGTTGAGGTCTAGGACTTGCTCAAACGTCGCTACGATATGGATGTATTGACTTGGAAGACCCATCATAAACTTCTTAACCATCTTGGACTCCTCTATGTTTTGACCTAGCGAGGCTGCTTTGGATGATATGCTCGATATCTTCCCCGCGAAGTCATCGACCTTATCATTATCATCCATCTTCAACCTATCAAACTCCGCCATCAACGTCTGTAGTCTCGCTTCCTTTACACGATCAGCTCCAAGGTGTCGTGACTTGATAGCGTTCCAGATGTCTTTTGCTGCGGTTTGATCTCCCACCTGGAGAATCAAAGCTTCAGGGATGGATTGAAACAAAAGAGTAATCGCCACATCGTTCTTCTTTTGATCATCCAAACCAGGTTCAATCGCGTCCCATACTTCATGAACACGAAGTAAAACCTTCATCCTCATCGACCAAACAGTATAGTTTGACGATGATAACATAGGACATTGGATGGATGTAGTTCCAAGGTCCTTCGTGCGTGGAGCCCTAGTCACGTCCGCCATCTTGCTCGCGTGTACTCTTGGTCACAAGCACCAGGGTCAAAGCTTCAACTTAAGCTTAGATCGAGTCTCCAACCTGAGGAGCTCTGATACCAATTCAAATCTAGATCAGAACTTCAACTTAAGCTCTGATACCAATTCAAGTTTGGATCAATGCTTCAACATAAGCTCTGATACCAATTCAAATCTCTAGAAACAAAGAATTATAAGAACAACTTTTCTTATTAGCTTTAGAAACTACTCAAAACTAAAGCTCTCAATGTTTCTCTTAGATCTCTTACGATATACTCTCTTTGATCTTATGGAACACCTCTCCATAGATCTCTATTTATATGTAAGACAATTCCCTTGAACATGTGGGATATGGAAAACACAAACCTAATCTAATAGAAAACTTCCTTTTCCTATTTCTAGATTTCCTTATTGTATTTATCTCTTAACATATTAAACATCTAATAATATGTTAAGTTTCCACAAGCTTGGAATTACCCAACATGTTTACATCCTAAAGAGTTTTTAATTGAAAGTAGTTATAGAACCATTTTCATTGTAATAATATAGTTCAGCCTTCAAAGACAAGATTGTTTATACAGCCATTAAGCTTGCTCCTAGTTTGCGCTCACATGCTTATTTCTCTAAATCTGGTTCATGTGCATTAGAGCTCATCTTTTTGCTGCATATATGAAGAGTGTCCTGAATTAAATAGTTGTGCTAGGCTGTCATCATTCATCAGCAGTCTCTAATCTAGGTTCTTCATACCCATCGGTAGGGGTATCTTAAGTAAGTGCTGATGCATATAGTTGAAGTTTCTCGGTTGTTCTGTCTTATGAGGCAAATGGTACTCATCTCCTCTATGCAACTCTTCTTCCATGGACATCACCTGTGATAAAAATAAATAAATGCAATTCTTTCTTTTTGAGCTTAGAAAGGCTCAAAAAGCAGCAGCAGATGAAGCTAAAGCTAGGTTTGGACACATTAATTGAGATCACCTCACACTGCTAAACGTCTACCTACCACGCTTTCAAGCATAACAGTAAGCTTGTCTCCTTTTCTTCTTTTTCTTCCTCTTGTGTGTTAGCCAAAATAAAATGGACAATAACAAACTTGGTCAATATGAATATTCTTACAGATAAAGACCCAAACTGTGCTACAAAAACTTCATCGACAACAGGGCAATGAAATCTGCTGACAGTAGTAAGGATAATGTCAAGATATAAACTGAAGATGTGCAGCACTAACAGCTATGACTATTACGACATCAACATAAGAAAAGCCATGCTTGGTGGTTATTTCATGCAAGTGGCTCACCTAGAACGCACTGGCCACCTGACAGTCAAAGATAACCAAGTATGTCTTAACAAATAAATCCGCTTTACAAGTGTTGTTTCTAATGAAGAACATGCTTTCTTTGTATCTGATGGTAAACAAAAAAAACTGTTGTTTTGCAGGAGGTTCATTTCCGTCCAACCAATATCTAACAAATACGTTTTGGCTACCAGGAACTTAATCCGAACTGTGACAGAAAATTCATGGGGAATGGTAAGTTCCAACGTACAATGTCTTGTTCTCTCCGCTTTACATTGTTGTTCGTTTCTGAAAACAAACTAGGGATGGGCACAAGCCAACTAATTTCCATTTTTGGAGTACTTGATACTTGGTTTGGCTTATTCGAGTAATAAAATTTTGGATTTATACTTCTACTCTATTAAAATAGAGTCATTATTTTTATCTACTGATACAAGTTGTCATTTAAATTTGCACCCTTTCTAGAATGTTACAAATAATATAAGTCATATAATTGATTGAACCGTATTACTTAAATTAAACCAACACAATTAATGTAAAGAGACGACCTTAATGTAAACTACCTTCAAAATACGGCAGGTATCTATGTGTATACCGAAAATATATATTTTCTCCTACAAATATGGAATGTTCTACAAGAATATATATCATCAAAATATTAAATATGGAAATCAACTAATTATACTCAAATTAAACCAGTGGTTATTTATGGAATATAGTCTTGGGCTTACTTTTGTTTTTTGAACAAATTATATAGTTTGGTTTTTGGGCTTCGTATTAAGAAAAAAACTCCAAAAACATTGAATAAACTTTTCGCCTTAAAAGATCAAAAAAATAATTATTATTTCAGACCCAAAAGATATTTAATATTTTTAACAAAACAAAATTATCTATTATTAATCATTTCTTTAAATCATGTACTTTAAAACATGTTAATATATTTTTTTATTTTAAATAACAATCACTTTGTTTTGATAAATTTCAATAGTAACTTTTAAATAAATTATTGTTATATTTTTCTTAAATAATTTACTAATTAAAAAAATGTAAAGGAAAACCAAAAACCAAATCTAAAAAATAAAATCCAAAACGAAAAGCTGAAAACACATGTTATATTTTTTTTGCTTTGTTTATTTACAAAATAAACTATTTCAAATTTTTTGTTTTTAAATTTGTTGTCATCTTTTCAGTTTTGAAGTAGATGTTCGATTATTTGAGATTTGTTTGTTGGTAATATTAGTTAAAACTAACTCAGCGGGTTTAAAAATTAAAAACCCAAACCAAAAACTGAAAATGGAAATGAAAAGTAGAAACTTAAAAACTAAAAACCAAAAACCAAAATCTAAAAATAAAAACTGAAACTAAAAACTAATGAAAAATAATCATCACCACAAATTTTGGTGAATTGATTTTATATCAAAATATTCTTTAAACTAAGACAAAACCCAATTATATAAATTTTTAATCATAAAAAATTTCCGCGCTTTTAAGTGCGGGTCAAAATCTAGTTGTTTATTAAAAACGAGTACTTGCACTTTGAAGTACTTATAAACAAGTGGTATACTTGCAAATATTTCTATGTTTTACTACTTGTTGCTTCTGAACTAATTTATAAATTATTATATAATTATTTGTAAATTATTTAATAATAGTTTATTAATTTTAGCTGCTTAAACCTTGTACATGAATTTAAGAAAAAATTGGTTAGTTATAATTATAATCTAAAAAAAAATTAATAAAGAATATTTATTTACTTTTCATTTGTTTTATATATGATAAATATAAAATTAAAATAAAAACTCTAAAATATTTCTATAATATATCATTTTAATTCATTTCTTTGATAAATAAGTAATTTGATTATAATTTAGAAAATTTTTTGTCCAAAAACAGAAAAAAGGTAATAAATCAAGTAATAAGTCAAATAAGCTAACAACACCAAATAGCAGTGTTTTGAAACCCGACCCGGACCCGCGGTTGAACCGGTAAACCGGGTGACCCAAAATAAATCCGGTTTGGGTTTTGTTAAAAACCCAAAATTTAAAAACCCGCTAAAACCCAAAACCCGATGCCGGTTGAATCAATAAATAAAATTTTACTTTTTTTAGTTTTAAATTATGTTTTAATTCTGTTTTATATTCTAAATTTCTAATTTAAAATTTAGGTTTTCACGTTTTAGTTATTGGCATTGACGTCTTCTTCTTTAAATTTAGATTAAACTTCCCGACTTTTTATCATACATAATATCTATTACACTATTTTATCTGGGATTTTTAAATTTTGATGAAGATTTCACTATACCACCTGAAAAAAATGAACTGAAGGGTGGTAGCAAGAACCAAAATTAGTTGATGTGATTTGGTGTTAGTTTATTTTTGTTATTGTTAATTTATTACTGATGTTTTACTTTTGGTTTATTTTGGATTTGAAGTTTAATTTATTATTCTCATTAGACATTTAGATATTTATGAATTTTATATCTTGATTTTTGTAGATGTCATTACTCTTAACTTGTTATAAAAAAATTAAATTATCTACACTAGTTTTTGATATTTTTTATATTTATACATTTTATGTTTTAAAAAAAAATTAGAAAATTTAGCTTCTATATTTTTAGTTTCATAGCTAATATATTATTATATAATAAAGTTTCATTTATTAACCCGCGGGTGAACCGCGGTCGACCCAGTGACCCAATGATCCGGTAAGTCGTCCGGTTCAGTGTCCGGGTCGGGTTTAAAAACATTGCAAATAGTTATTTTCATTTTATTACTTGGTATTTTATCTTGTACTTGCAAGTAATTAGAATAAACGATTTAATACTCAACTTGAACAAAATAAGTACTCAAATAAACAATTTAATACTCGAGTTGAACAAAATAAGTACTCAACTTTAACAACAAGTACGAATCAAATAGCGAGTACAAACCAAGTATTCACAGGCTAGGAGATAGATGTTGCTCCTGATTACTATAGGTGGGGAAGGAAGCAATGAAAGGGATTCATCATACTCTCAAACAGGTGAACATAATGATTCTACTTTGTCAAGCCGTAGAGCTTGTCTTTTACTATGATTAACCTTGCAAGTTCTCCTTTTACCCACGTTTGTTCTTTAGAAGATTCCACAAACATTAGTTTTAACTAGTCAAAAGTTATTACACAAAACATTCATTTAGACATATGGCTAGCTTACTTACTATTATTATTACCATGGGAGAGTAACAGTTGCTTGAAACTCTTGCTCCACAATCTGAACCTTTTGGTCGAGAACAGCTGCGTGGGTCTGCATCCGAGCCTTCTCCTTTTCCATTGTCACTTTCGCTTCCTTCAGCAACGCTTCTTGCTTCTGCAACGCAACAATCTTCTTCGAGACTTGTTCAATATCCTCTTCACACTTCCTTCTTTTATTATCATTCTCAGTGATCTCTCTCTCAGCAGCTTGCAACTCTTCCAATGCCCATGTCTGGCTTTCTTTAATAGACAACAGCTTGTCGATCCGAGACAGAGGTGCTGTGATATCGAACCCGTGTTTCTCCAGCTTGAGAAAGGACTCTTTGATCCTGTTTATCGCGCTTACCGAACTGTCCACTTGTATGTTCCTGAGTTTCTCTAACAGCCCAGTGAAGTTCACCATTGCACCAATTGCGTCTCCTTCACGAGACTCTTCCTCGCATTGTAGCAGTGGGCTGAAATGTGGACGCTGTGGCACAGCTTTGAAGATCTCCATTGATTCAAGGACTTTCCAACAGGGTGACTTCTTTGCAAATGGCAGAACTATTGTTGAATCTTTTGCTTTTGGAGTTTCCACAACATGCTTTTCCACTACAGAACTAAGCATTGGATCAGGAACCACCGGAGGAGGAGCGGATTGCCCTGAAAGATGATCAATCAAACAAAACAAATGAGAACTGAAAGCTAAATGACATCAACGAAGTGTCAGCACTAACTAAAATCCATCAGAACCTGATGATGAATTTCCACCATGGATCCATGAAGCAAGAGGCTGATCATCATCATCAGTCATATCGGCAGTACCATTAACATCCACACCTACATGTTAATATTGCAACAATGTTTCAAAAAATCTAAAGAAAGCAATGCCACTTTACTTATATCCGTCGAAGTTAAGACAACAGACCTGTCTCTTGCTTTTGGTTAGCCTCTGCGCTAACGAACTTACGTGGCTGTCGTCCTCTTTTCCTCTTATTAACGCTCTCTCTATTACTCGACTCCTCAGGTGCCTGCAATAAAGTCAAAATAGAATGAACAACCGACCCAAAGTGCGATGTTTTAACACATACTAACTAACACTCACCTTCACTCCAACGGATTCATCTCCAGAAAATCCCTTCTGATTCTTCATTGCCTGAAGTTTCTTCCTCGGAGTTGTTTTTCCTTGTGTTTTGACTGCTTGTTTCGTCAGCTGGATTGCAGCTACAGCCAAGACTACCGATGAGTGAAACTCTTTTTCTGATAAAAACGTAGATTCATGACACAGAAACCATCATACTTTTGAAGTTAAAGATTAGGAAACTATTATGTATATAAGGAAGACGTAATCAACTAATATTACGTTTTATGTTATATAAGGAAGGTATAATATTAGTTTCCTTATCTATAAATAGCACTTACTTTCTGCTATCTCTGGTTGCCTTGCGACTGGAGTGTTACCATTCACCACACCATTAGCCATTTTACTTCCTAAATCTCCAGATAACTGCTGCACAAAGTTACACTGTGATTACCCAAATAAATGTCACTGGAGCCAGATAGCAAATTAGATTCACTAAAAAAGGTATAACCATAACTCGCTGAAATTCAATTTAAGACTGTAAGGAAAAAGCAACTCACAACTGGAGTTTGGGGGAGCTGTGTTTCATTCTCAGTGACAGATTCTTTAGGAGGAGGAAGATTCTTAGTGCAAGTAGAAGACCGCGTCGTCCTCAGTTTTTCCCTTTTGCGAGTTGAACCTGTTGCTTCCTCAGCTGCATGCAGACTCTCCTCTATATCCGAAACCTAAAACCGAACACACACATTCTGATTTCAATGCATGTCATCCAAAATATCACAAAAAAAAAGGATCCAGTAAAATAGCAAGGAAACAAACAAGTACCTTTTCTTTACTAAGCCAAGCTCCATCTTTCCACTCCATAGATGGCCTTAGCTGGGAGAGGTCAAAGTCTTTACTCTCCTTGTTTGGTCCCAAGAGGAGAGTGTATCTCTCCCCACAAAGAACCTTGCTTACTATACTAGGACACCATCCTCCAGACTCGAGCAGGGCATCCACATTTTCCATCAAAGCAAAGGCTCTTAGATCAAAAGTCGGTGGTGGAGGCCTGATTTCAGAGTAAGGAACACTAGTCTTGGTCCATCCATCTTCTTCTCCTTCTTCTTTTTCACCGCTCAAACTCTTGTACTTAACCAGTAATGTCCCATCTTCATTCTCCGTGATGGCTATAGCCGAAACCCAAATATTACCAAAATCTTCTCCCTTAATTCTGACTTCTAAACTCGTTCCGGCGCTAAAATCCGACTCCATCAAATGCTTCAGACACAAAAACAAACAAAGTTGAAGGAGACAGCATTACCAACAACAAAAAAAAAATGAAAACTTTTAATAACAAAAAGGTGAAGATTTTTACTCGTTTCTCGCAACGAAACCACTCTTCATCTTTCCAAACCATATGTGGCCTCAGATCCTTCCTTTCAACTTCAATAACATCAGGTTCGAATCTCAGATACACCAAGAAACGCTGACTAGGCAACAAGACTTTAACCACCCAACCAGACCACCAACCACCTCTATGAGCAGCGTCAACCATGTCACCTTCCTCAAAATCAACCTCAGGGGACGGATCCAGCGGCGGGAGGGGGCGAATCAGACGGTGGACAGCGGTTGTGATCAACGGAGGAGAGTAGTCTTCGTTGGTCTGAGGGTCTAAGTGGCGAACGGCGAGCTTCTTGCGCTTAGAGACAGCGAGATTCTCTTCGAGGATGGCGCGGTACCATATATAGCCAGTAGAGCGGTCGTACTCGTTGGAACAGACTTCGATCTCGGAGCCTTTAGATGCGGTGAGCTTCTCCTTTTTCCCGGTGGATGACAACATGATTTTCCTCGGAAATCACTTCTCTCTTTCTCTCTGCTTCACCGAACCCTAGAACTTTTTAGAGTAGAGAGAAAACAAGTTTGGCAGTGTGCTTTAGTTAGTGTTCTGTCTCAAATGCTCCTCAGTGAAAAAAAAGAAAAGGTATACTGTATTATTAATTATATTAATATTTAATTAGCTTCTTTATTTCTGTTAAGGGAGTGTTAATTGTGATTAGATAAAAAAGTTAAGCCCATCAAGACGAAACGCAATGAGGGTCATTGGTCGTTGTCATAATTTATGATAGTATATACCAATGAGGGTAATTTTGGTTGTTGTAATAGTAGTAAATTTAGTTTATAGATCAATCAAATGACTCATTTGTCGGGGTATAATGTAGTCTTTTCTCGTTTGGTAAGTTTATTTTTCCTTGTTTAAGATAATACGTCTTAACGACGCAATTATTTTACTCATTTTAATTAGTTTTTGGATTAATCTAAATGGAATCGAGGTTTCTATAAGTAATTTTATAAATGTAGGAATACATTGGAAAATCCACCGAAATGTAGACCCCATTTCATAATATTCAGACTTTAGTATAGAAGAAAAACAACTTAAAAAGAGAGCGAAGAACACAAAGTATAAACTGATATGATAAAAATTCAGAGAAGAACGAACAAAACAGAGTCCAAGAAGACAAGACCAAACCCACAAACTGCACGCCTAAGCCTGCATTTAATCACACATTAGAAATTACATACCAAAAACGATTGAACAAAGTTAGTAAGTAATCTTGATTATACCTTGTTTGCGATGTTGTTGGAGAGCCAGTCCAGTCCCTCATAGAGCCCTTCTCCTGAGGTAGCACATGTGCTCTGAATGTACCTGTTCAAACCAACAATTACATCACAACTTCTTCTGGTTTACAACTATCAGGTTTTTAGGTTCTTTTTTTGAAAAAAAAAAAAAGGGCTTACCAGTGTCGTTGACGGAGAGAGTGAAGCCCAAGTTTGTCAGTAATCTCAGCGGCATTCATGGCGTTTGGAAGATCTTGCTTGTTAGCAAAGACGAGAAGCACCGCATCTCTCAGCTCATCCTGCAACAACATTTAAAGGGATACATTAACAAGACAAAGTCAAAACCAAAAGCGATGCCTCTTGCTAATTCATGTAAATACAGATGAGAAGATATTGGTTTTGGAGTTTACTTCGTTGAGCATTCTGTGAAGCTCATCTCTAGCTTCCACAACACGGTCACGGTCATTGCTGTCCACCACGAAGATTAGCCCTTGCGTGTTCTGGAAGTAGTGCCTCCACAATGGACGAATCTGAATGAGCAAGCCAAAGAAAAAAAAAAGAAACATTCAGCATAATGATGATGGTCCTAGAAATGCCTGTTGATTTGGATTTCGCTCATTAAATGTAAGATGATGGTAATGCGAATACCTTGTCCTGACCCCCGACATCCCACACGGTGAAGCTGATGTTCTTGTATTCCACAGTCTCCACATTAAATCCTAGCAAACACACAAACACAAGAATTGTCCAATTTAAACAGTACCAAGACATCAAGCAATAACACTGTCAATCCTAGTCATAAACAAGGAGGCATAGATGATAAATCTTCAACAAGTAGGAGTACACCGCATGCTAGCCAAGAGACAAATCTCTGCAAATATCTATACTCAAGTTCGAAACAAGACTGTCTCTATATCTATAACCCACACCAGTTCGTTAAGATGAATGCACAACGTGTCAGAAAGAGTAAGAAAGACTCACCAATGGTAGGGATGGTAGTGACAATCTCACCAAGCTTGAGCTTGTACAAGATGGTAGTCTTACCAGCAGCATCAAGACCAACCATGAGGATACGCATCTCTTTCTTTGCAAACAGTCTGCTGAACAACTTCCCGAAAGACAGCCCCATTCTTTTTCAAATCCTGCCCACATACTACTCATTAGCATCATCAATTGACTAAACAATTACAAAGATAGCAGCATCCTCTACGATTCTAATTCTCTTAAAAGTTCTCTCAGATCTCATTTCTAATTGCAAGTTCCGATCAAAATCAACATCCTGAAAATAGATCTAAATGCCGATTTCAAATGGAAACAAACCTAGATCACTTTGAATCACAACATATAGAATACACAGAGATCTGAAATGACGGATCCAGATCGCGCGATCGATAATCGACTTACCTACGTCGAAGAAGAACTACACTTTCACTGTCGCCGATAGATGAATGGGTCGTCCAAAGAAGAAGCTAATGGTCTTTGAACTTCTAAGAGGAGGATCGTGTTACGCAACACTTCTCTACTTATGTTTATTTTCCAAGTCTTAGCTAATTATTAAACGTCCGATATCTTAAACAAATCGCGGGGATAGCTCAGTTGGGAGAGCTTCAGGCTGAGGATCTGAAGGTCGCGTGTTCGATCGACGCTCACCGCACATTATTACTCTTCAATAATTGAACGGGCTTGGGCCTGAATTGCAGGTTGTATCAGCAATATATAAATGGGCTTAATAAATGTATTCACTCAACCCTATATAGATTATAATCTATATAGAGAACATGTTGCTTAATGTAAGCATTTTCCACACTCTTTCTTTAAATTAAACACTCCTTTTCTCCTAAGCATCTCACTAAGCAACCTCCATTAAACATGGAGGTTAATGATCCACGCTCACCGCACATTATTTTATTTTTTACTCTTCAATAGTTGAACGGGCTTGGGCCTGAATTGCAGGTTATATCAGCAATATATAAATGGGCTTAGTAAATGTATTCACTCAGGCCTATATGTAGATTATATTTAGAGCATGTTTAATGCATGTTGCTTAATTTAAGCACTTTCCACACTCTCTCTTTAAATTAAGCACCCCTTTTCTCCTAAGCATCTCACTAAGCAACCTCCATTAAACATGGAGGTTAATGATCCACGCTCACCGCACATTATTTTATTTTTTACTCTTCAATAGTTGAACGAGCTTGGGCCTGAATTGCAGGTTGTATCAGCAATATATAAATGGGCTTAGTAAATGTATTCACTCAGGCCTATATGTAGATTATATTTAGAGCATGTTTAATGCATGTTGCTTAATTTAAGCACTTTCCACACTCTCTTTAAATTAAGCACCCCTTTCCTCCTAAGCATCTCTCTAAGCAACATCCATTAAACATGGAGGTTAATTATCCACGCTCACCGCACATTATTTTATTTTTTACTCTTCAATAGTTGAACGGGCTTGGGCCTGAATTGTAGGTTGTATCAGCAATATATAAATGGGCTTAGTAAATGTATTTACTCAGGCCTATATGTAGATTATATTTAGAGCATGTTTAATGCATGTTGCTTAATTTAAGCACTTTCCACACTCTCTCTTTAAATTAAGCACCCCTCTCCTCCTAAGCATCTCTCTAAGCAACTTCCATTAAACATGCTCTTAGTCGCCTTTCTTGCTATATGAGCCGACTCCAAGGGACTTTTATTGGTTCTGACTTAAAAATAGTTTAATGATTTTAAAATTAAATCATTAAACTGAATTTAAAAAGAGTTTTCATGATATATATAGATTTATTTTAATTGTTTTTACAGATTATCACTAACTTTAACTGAAGATAATTATAAACTTTAGCAGAGTTTGTTTTAAAATATTGTATGATATTATGTTGTTGTGTTTGTTGTTATCTTTTTTTCTGCAATCCACTCTTTTATAACTCTCAGTAGTTTATACAAAAACTACACCCTTCTTTCTTTAGTAAATGTATTCACTCAGGCATATATGTAGATTATATTTAGTCGTCTTTCTTGCTGTATGAGCTGATTCCAAGGGACTTTTATTGGTTCTGACTTAAAAATAGTTTAATGATTTTAAAATTAAATCATTAAACTGAATTTAAAAAGAGTTTTCATGATATATATAGATTTATTTTAATTTTTTTTTAGATTATCACTAACTTTAACTGAAGATAATTATAAACTTTAGCAGAGTTTGTTTCAAAATATTGTATGATATTATGTTGTTGTGTTTGTTGTTATCTTTTTTTCTGCAGTCCACTCTTTTATTACTCTCAGTAGTTTTTACAAAAACTACACCCTTCTTTCTTTTGAAACTCCGAAAACTGCACTTGATCTATGTCTTCCACACGAGCTTCCAAAAAGCTTTTGCTTCACAAAACTACGCAAATAACACATGCAAATCTACCAAATAATCTTCTCTTCCTCTATTGTTTATTTTTCTTTATCATCCCAACTATTTGTGATGCCAAGCTGTCGATTAGAAAATTCTGACATTAATCGATTTTCTTCATCAGCACCAGCACTGAAACCCCATATCTTAATCTCTTCTTCTCATGGGATACTAACTTTATCAAGAAAGCACCAATTCCAATAGCACTAGTCGATCATATTTCTTAAAATGAATTCTCTACAAAGCACATGTTATAAACTGGTTTCTCTCGAAAATGATGATTTATCTAATTTGGATCATATATTTGTTTAAACTCTAGGGTGGAGGTGAGTGAGGGAGGAAAGAAGTAAGTGGTGTGTTACGATTTTACAACGGCCACAATTACAGATTCGTGTCATATGCAATTACAAAAAAAAAAAAATTATGAAAATCTTGATCAACTTACAATACTTTGTGATAAACATATCTTGTGAAGAAACTTTTTACAAATCAACAATCCAATAACAACAGATATTAAAGTATGACAAAATCAGTTAACTTTCATTTCTTTTGAATAACACAAAACTTTCATTGACTATAAAGTAATGGATCCAATAGCTCTAGGATTTTGTAAACTTTTAACAACTAATTACAAATTTAAAAACCAATAACACAAACTTTAACATACTTTTGAAAAGTTGTAAATGAATAACACTAGAATAATCAAAACATCTAAATCTGTTTAACTCCTTGTAGATTCATAATCCAATTACAGCCCCTAAATTTCACCTTAATCGCTCCAATTGTCCCAAGTCCAACTATTGATGGTACTGATGACTAATGATTGCGATATGAGGTCACTTTGTAAAGTCAAATGTATGACTATGAGCCACAATTTGTTATTAGGCTTTATCAATTGAATATTTCCTTTTATTATAGAGC